CAAGTGAATTTGTCTACTTTTTGCATGTTATTAGTTTATATTCTTTGGTGTATTATTTAATTAAATAAAAATTGTTAAGTGCTTTACTATAACCACTAAAAAAAATCAGGCTTAACTCGGGGCAAGAAAAAAGAAGATTGGGTAAGTACTTTATTTCTTGTTTTTCATATTTATTCTTTATTTATTATTATAAAAGTAACTAAAATTTACAAAATTTGCCAGTTTTACAGTAAACATTATAAGTCTTTCACATACAAAAAATCATATTTTTAATGAAGTATTTTTAATAAACTAAAAAAGATTTGTCCTTGAATATATCGAGTATTTGTTTTGAATAGTCTGTGTGAAGATGATTTTCATGTTAAGATTAAAAACAATTTTCTTCATCTCAAAAACCTTCTAAATACATTTCAGGTGTTTGTGTTCAGTAAAACTTTATATTTTATCTGTTATTTTCTTTACCCTAACTCTATACATGACTGACTTCACAACCACCAAAAAACCTAAGTAAATCTAAATTATACTTTTTTTTATTTCTAGAATGACTTCAAATGTAACATGAAACTACATTTGTTTATCCTAAGTAGCTTTAAACTTGTAACAATATACATCTATTTATAATTAAGTTTTATTGTTTCATTGCCATTTGAACCATGTCTGACTACGATTTGTGCCATTAAAAGTTGTAAGTCATTATGCTGTTGAATTACGTTATTCACGAGCTACTCCAAGCTGCTCACATGTATGCCTCGTAAAATATTTTTATTATATTATTATTATTTATTTTACCTAAACTAACCATAACTAACCTAAAAAGATCCCTATTTTTACATTTAAGTTACTTTTATAATAATAATAAATGAAGAATAAACAATTAAATAAAAATTATTTAGTGCATTACTTCCATTAGTATTAAAAAAGTAGGGTTAAGAGTCACTGACAATCAACAGCAAGAAAAAAGAAGACTGGGTAAGTACTATATTTCTTGATTTTCATAAAGTAATGCACCAAACAACATAGAATAATAACATGCAAAAAGCAGGCAATTTCCCCTAACTATCACAATTTTTCTGGCTTCATCCAAGCAACTTGTTGTCTTCCTATGGGAACAATGCTTGTACTAACAGAGAAATTGACAATTCTCTGTTCAGAACATGACATAATATCATACGTCACTTGAGAGATGAAAACCTTGGCTTTCTATTGGTTATACATAATACAGAATTAAACGTAAGAGAGAACTATTAACAATTCCTTAATGAGAGGGTGTGGCAGGAAGAGTCTAATTTTCTATTTGATAGCTATGGCTTGTCTGAGCAATGACAAATTTTTAGTGAGTAATTTACGTTTAATTTCCTACCTTTTGGAGGGGTGGTGGATAAAATAGAGAAGAGTAGTTGCCTAGAAAAAATGTGCCACGTGTGTCACACTAGGGGAAATTTGGGATTTTTTTTTTTTCATATTGCCTTGTAGAATTAAGAACTTAAAACCTATATACTATTAAAATATGGATTATTAGCTAAGATTTTGTGCTTTATTAATTGGTATAACATAAACAAAAAGTGGTTTAATAAAATTTTGAATGTAAAACACAAACCTAGTGTAATGTTCAGTAAAGGATACCCGTGTTGATAAGATTAGTAAGTTTTTTTAAAGTAAATTACAGGAGCTGAGCTGTTCTTGAGTATTTAAATATCTTTTTTGTTTGGCAAGTCCATAAAGTATGTAATTAAAATTAAAAAAGCTAAGTTTAACTTGACTGTTAATTTTAACATGATTGTGTTTGAACTTCTCGATAAGCTTAAGAATGTACAATGTGTATTAATCCTATGCATACACAAAAGTCAAAGTATACGTGTCATGACTTTTTAACAAGTTTATAATTCAAAGTTTTATTTAATCTAAGTTTTAATTTCTTAATGTCCAATGGAATATTTAAATAAGTTCTCAGTCTTCACTACTCTGTGTAACATGAGTTATCTTGCCTCTGTTTTCTACTTTTTAGGTTTTCTTGATTCCCCTTTTACTGCTCACACTGTATCCAACAAATTAGAAACACAAACTATAAATATTGACAGGTGACAATATAAAATGTGAACCTCCTACATTTTTGTTTTGTTAAGATATAAATATATTTGTTTAACCTCTGGTGAAACTCCTCTCATCTATCATAGCTTTGAATGAAGTTATCTAAACCATGTTTCTTTATTTGTTGAACGTGTTTATAGCCAACATCTATCCCTGTATGTTCATTTGTTTAGTTTTGGTTGTCAGAATTGGCAGTTGACAAGAAAGTGTTGTTGTATGTTGAGTAAAGTCATTGCTTCAAGCACTAATGGAATTTGTTTTAACCTCTTTATATGTTAGTTAGAAAGTCATGTAACTTGTTGTAGTTTTGGTATATCTTGTTATAGTGCCTGAAAAATTGTTTGTGTTCTAAAAAACATATTTCAAAGCTACATTAATTAATGCTTGGACAACCAACATAGAGAAAAGTAGATTTACTAAAGCATGACACCCTGTAGTGCAAATGGCCTTAAAGCTGAAGTATGTGCTAAATTTGCTATATATTTTATGTTGCTGTTATATAATTCTTAACAAAAGTAACTAAAATGTAAAAATTAGAATCTTAGGTTAGATAACAAAACGTAATACGTTTCTCTTAATACTTATGGAGAGCATGCTGTTTGAGGTCAGGTAATGTAACCCGACTATTTGTTTACCCTGTAAAGTTTATTGCTTTTCACATATTGAGAAAGTGTTCAGTGTACAATAAAACCATCAAATTAAATGATAGCAGATATGAAAAGGTTTAAAGCTGAGGCTGTTATCTTAAATGATTATAAATGTCTGTTACAATCTGTAGTCATTCTAGATAGAAAAAAAAATTGTTTTTATTCCATACACGTCAACTTTTTGTTATACTTTGCATCAGTTAGTGTTGGAGTAGATATTAAGCAAAATATTTTCACTGAACTTGAGTTGTTAATGAATGATTGTTAAAGTATTACAGCTCCATGTATTCACTTGCAGAAGCAAATATTATATTTAA